GATATTTTTTAATTTGAATACAAATGTTGGTACTATACGGGGATTGAACCCATGACCATCGGATACTCATTGATAAGCGTGCTAAAGATTCATAGATAATAGATCACAGAAATCGTTACAATATACCTGCTATATATATATATATTATTTGTATGTGGTTCTTAAAGAACATTGTTTAAACTGTTATCGAGTTTTTTTTCAATCCTTGAAGCAAAACGAAGAACTTTTAACGAAAAGACTGACTACAAGATATAGAAACTATAGATAATCATTAAAATCAATTCTGAATATACAGCTGAGATATCGCGTAACAAACTCATAAAACAGCAGAGTCGAATTGAGAATCGCCTCCTTTTCAAAGACGGTTGAAAATGCAAAACATTTGCCTCAGGCTCGACGCAATCAGCCGATGGAACGTCGGAAGGTGAACGGAATTTTAAAACGCTCCGCGCGATATTTTTATTATATTAGTCTCCTTTTTGAGCCATGATTTGTGGGGAATCATTCATAAAACACTTTCAAGTTAAGCCACCATTACGTTACGGTTTTCGGTACACCGAGAAACCAGTCTAGAGTAGATCAGCTATGTTTTTTTCAATAGTCAGGTTTGTACCTTATCTCTTATCTAAATTATGAAAGACAAAATTTAATACTAACCAAAATATCAACATTATATTATTACTTGTGGTATTTATTTATGATACTTTTTTAACTTAATATTATAAACGCAAAAGTTTGTGAGTATAGATGGATGGATGTTTGTTACTCTTTCACGCAAGAACTACTGAACGGATGTTGATGAAACTTTACAGTAATATAGTTTATACATCAGAATAGCAAATAGGCTATAATTTAAAAATATATATTATGTATATTAGGCGAAATATATAATGATAAATGTCAAGTAAGTGTGATGCAGACAAGTTGTGCGGAGTTGCTCCGCGACTTCGTCTGAAGAGTTTAAGTTTAATATGGGTAGATAATATTGTATCCAGCTACCTACAAATTGTTAACACGTGACTTTTCCTGTTAATTTCTGTAACAATATTAATGATAATTTATTTCCAATATTTGATACATTTGTGTAATTTCATCAGATTTTTGTAGTTCTTTTATAATAAGTATAATTTGTAGGCAAACCTGATAAACCCGGATAACATTCGTGAAAGTTTATTATATGTATGTATTTTACTTTAACAGCTTTTTCCAATTTTTTATGTTTTAACCGCAACGAGGTTGTTTATTAGGACAGAAGTGTAACAAAATGTTGCGGAATATCACTCGACAGGCATAATGACATCTCGTTAACTGCTCATCCCACAGTTTAAACATGCTCAATGACTTTAAATGAGCAAAACCACAAAATGCAAAAATGGCGATTGCCGCTTCACCATTATATTGATTTCGACGCCATTAAAACGAACCGGAAATTAAAAAGAAATAAAAACATATTGCTTTCCCGCGCGCTCCGGACTTCGCCCAATTTGTACACGTTCTGTTTTCGAACATCGCACTTTTTTTAATATAGAGAAAAGCTTAAGCCCACCACTATTGTCTTTCAATAATCCACCTAACGAGTGAAGATTTAGAAGCTGTATTACCTTTTGTGTTTAATACATTAAACACGTTATGTTATTTTAATAGTATGTGAAATATAGGGTAGGTAGATTTTATTTGGCATGCCATTATTGTCAGCGTGATATGATTATTATATTATCGGGCGATAAACGGGCATAAAAAAGATATATCGTGACGAGGCAATCATCTGACGGGGATTATGACGTTATTACATTGTTACATGTGGATTTATCGAGAATATATCGAGCTAATTACATTTCTGAGCAAAATATGCCTCAATAAAGTAAGGAGTATAAGTTTTAGGCCTTTTTTGGATATCAATTGTTATTAGCAAACGGTTGTTAACAACTAAAAATATTTATAGATATAATTCATAACTATACAGGAACAAATTTACAAAAAAAATTAAGAGTGAACACTAATCACCTAAAAGAGATATGGATAGAAATAGATCGTTATTGCAGTTGGTACGTTGTAGGTATATATGAACTTATAAACCAAAATTACGATTCACACCTCACACCTCTAAATTTCGATTCTAAATTATAATATTATATATTGACGACCTCGGTGGTCTAGCGGTCTAGCACACCGCTTCCCATAGTCGCGGGTTCGATTCCTCGCACGGCACAAACATTTGTATTCATGAGTATGATTGTTTGTATCGGTCTGGGTATTTTCTGTGTATAATATGTATGTATTTACGAAAAAAAATTATGTATCTATCTATTTGTATCAGTTGTCTAGTACCCATAACACAAGCTTTAGCTAGCTTAACTTGGGTCTAGATGGCGAAAGAAAGCATTACTGATCGTACCAGCTACTACTGTTTTAATGCAAGAAAAAATTACATATAAATAATTATAACACTTTTAGTGTTCACTTATCATTGAGATGAGGTACTTACCTATACAATTTTGTATTATAAATACTCTCGGAAAATATTACGAGTAGGTACCTAATACCTACTCATAATATTTTCCGAGAACTTATTATTACCTATACCGAATGAAAATCAAGGACTATTTGACAGACATTAAATATGCCCAAATGACTTTGATATCCACTTCAACCATTTGCCCCATATTTTTACCAAAAACTCCAGCTACTAACTCGCCTACACAGCGAGTGCGAAGACTTCTAAGTAAAAGCTAAAGCATGTAGGACTATTAAAGCATTTAATTTTCCTTGAATCTGTATTTTTGTAATCATGTACAAGAAATAGCAGATTTCTTGTCAGTTCTTCTGAACTCAAAAGCACTGGACAATAGATTTTTCTAAGATAAGAATCTGTTGTAGAGCTACAGGAATAAAAATATTTGGATTTGTTTTCCTGTCTAAATTGGCTATCACATGAAATGGCTGGTATTTTTAGATACATTTAAAAATTAATTTACAATAATATTTTGTATATTTCACTAAGAATTCCAATGAGTTCATTATAATAAAGGACAATTCAACCAAAACCAAACCCAAGTTAAGCTATCTCTAAAGCTTGTGTTATGGATACAAGATTACTGATACAAATACATACCTACATATATTTTTTTGGTTAATATGTACATATTGTACATAGAAAACACCCAGATCAATACAGACAATCATAGTCATGAATACAAATGTTTGTATCGTGCGAGAAATCGAACCCGCGACTATCGGAAGTAAGGCGGTGGTGTGCTAAACCGATGGACCACCGAGGTCGTCATTATATATTTAAAATATATGGTATATATGTAGGTATATATTTTAAAACAAAAAATATAAATTTAATGGATACTTACGAAGGTTGCATTGTCGTATTATATTCAATAGTTTATTCATAATCAAAATGCCTGTCATCTATCACTTACAGATAAAAGCTCTGGAACATCAAAGGGATCTAATCAGATACACGGCACGAGATATAGGTACTTAGGTAGGTACATGTAAAACACATTAATACGATAATGCCTATAAATGGATGGCAAATATTTACATAGCGGCGCCTTCTGTACTTAAATGACTTACCGTAGTAGGTCATTTGTGTAATTTGCCGCGATTATGTTGTTTATTAATACATTAAAATCCATATATAATAAACGCTTACACATTATATCATTTAGCGATAAAAAATATTTATCGTCTATAGGTAACAGGTTAGCTTTTAGCTGTGATGTTATCTATCTATGTACCTACACGCTATATCCCGGACGGGGTTGACAGAGAGAACTAATTATAATACAATTAATTATGTACTCCATTTACAATCACAACACGACTCATTTTTGGTTGTAGAGCCTCTTAAGTCTTCCATTAGATAATACAAATAATCTGACCATGATAGGTTACCCTGGATCTCCTCCGATGTCTGCATTTATCTAGTCTCAGATTTAAAATCTGCAAATAGGTATATACAATATGACTCAAAATCGGTGTTGCGCTTGCTTTTTTCGCTTACTTCTAGTAAATCACGCAACGGATTTTCATTGGTGCAAATGATTTGCAACTGTTCTGGTGCTGTTGGCTGCTGCTGGCTTTACAGTTTGCAAAGCCTTCTATAAACTTCATCTTCCGCGGGTTCTAGTGCAGATGGCACTTGAAACCCGCGGAAGAACTTATAAGAGCGGCTGAAGGCCAACGCCTGTCTGACAGATATGACTTTAGTATAAGGTCGCCACTAGGGGTTCGAACCTCGACTCAAGCTGTCGTAATTTCATTCTATTGGACGAGGAATCGATCCGAGGGATCGATCGATCCATTCACTCTTGTATTTCAAAACTCTAAATAAGTATGTACATAAGCGTATAACACAAAGTCGCTGCTTTCGTCAACCCGTTTTCTCACTTACTTCTTGTAAAATCCTATTAGAACCTGATTTTCAACAGATTTTCATCTTGTCACTGTCATTTGTTTTGAAACTCTTTAGAAACGTGGTTTATGATGAATCAGCAAGCCTACTTAAAATTAACAATAATTAATTTAATGTAGGTAGGTATATTAATATTTCTACAGGCAAAGCTTCCGCTCATTGAACCGTTGTTGATTGAGAGGTTGACTTTACCTATTTTGAAATCTACACTAATAAAATTATGTAGACCTGACGTATTTAATCTACAATTCGACATCGTTGTATTGTGATAGGAAATACTTAATGTTATTCTACGCAAGTTATGATGCCATATAATGACAGCAAAATACTTTGAATAAAACTAGTGCTGCCATCTGCCGTCGAATAGATAAGTTACTGTGACAAACAACCGTCAAACATCTGCTTTATCATGTATACTCATTATTCTAATATTCCGCCAACAGATGGTGCTGTACTATAAAATATTGATTGCTAGTCTATGTTTTCATTCGTTCATTTGTATTTTTTCTACGAACGATTCGCGTGAAGAGAGTTGTTTGTGCAAAGTGGTCATTCGAGTATTTCGAGTTAATCGAGTCCAGTTGACGTTCTTTCATTCAATAATACTATAGTGCCCGTGTGTCAAGTCTCACACGGTACATGCATAGACACTTGTTTTTGTTTGTTACGTGTAATAAATACGAATGTTTAGAATTTTCAATAAAAACCAACAACAAATTACTGAAAGTAATAACTTTGTGTTATAGTACAAGTTTATCATATTTTGTTTTGCAGTGTATTTTAAAACTGTAACTTTCTCAGCAGTTCACAATTTCGCGGTGTTAGTGAGTGAATCCGTTTAAAACATGAGTTGAATAAACTTTGCAAACTCAAGATTTACCCAGTTATGAATTAATTTTTTTAATTACATCAAAATGACTACGGACAGATTCCACAAGTGAGTAGTATGGAATATTATCTGACCTTTTTTATATAGATAAGATTAGGAATTGATTGTTTTCAAGTTTATTACTATACCTTTACTAAACCTTTTATTGTATCCATATAGGTACCTAATTAAATGGTATAGGTATTTTTAATACAACAAGTTTACACTTTTGGTAAGCATACGGCTCGCCTGTGTAGGCATATACAGTAGCCTGAAAATGGCTACACTTACAGGGTACATGCCTTACTAGGTATGTAGGTACCTTGCGCCAAGAAAAATCTTAAAAATACAAGAACAAGGTACCTGTCTGGCGGAAGATATACCCAAGTGAAATATTAAAGACCCAAGATATCTTAGTTGTATATTCTTATGTACTAGGTAAGTGTATGAAATAGAGTATCTTCTGCCCTTGATTAAAATTGGAAATGGAGCCCACTATCCCATAAGATGATTTTTTTAATGGATGAATGTGGATTGGAGGGCACCCCTTTCCTGGTAGTATGCGCTGACAAAGCACAGGTGGAGGATGATAGGATAAACATTCGAGTCAAGTGAGATTTCACAGGGAATGAACCACTGTGGTTAACATTTTTGACTGCCTGGAGACCACCACTAACTACTATTGCCCATTACTAACAATCCCCTCTCCCGACAATCGTATAATGTGGCCTGCTGTTTAGGATAGCCTTATTCTATACAAATAAATAAAATTAGTCTGTTTGTAATTTCAAATTAACAGCTTTTCACTAAACATAAAATTCCACATATGAAAGTATATACTTACGATACGTAAATAAAAAAATATTAGTGCCTGTCTATTTGTCTGTTTGTTTATTTATTCTTCTTAGTCTCTGAAACGACTGGATAGATTGTGACTGGAGTTTCACTCGCCGATAACTAGTTAACAATATACCTACCTATTTCATAGATATGCAACAACATCATCAGCTCTCCCAAGGCACGCCACTGGGTACGATCTTCAGCCCTTATCTTCCAGTTACTACCCAATATACAACAGTCCCTTTCATCTGCGTCAATCGGAGATGCTCTGATAATTAAATTTCATTTACGGACTATTCACGGTTTTTGAACCGTAAATTTTAAACGAGTGGAGTAAATATAAATATTCTAATTGCGAAATCACATTAGTAAGTGAAAACATCACGCTATCAGATAATTCTGGTTGGATATCTATATGAATTATTAATTGACTGACTAATATTGCATACAGAAAGAAGAAGTTTCCAGAACTTCTGAGTCAGTTGATTTAACAGTACACACTTATAGATTCAGAGTTTACATGTGGTTGAAACAACAAAAAACAGTAAAATTATAGGAATTGGTGTCCTCAACCAATTAATAATTAGTAATAATAAATATTATATTAATTAATTAATTAGATATTATAATCGGACACAATTGATAGATAATAAAAAAAATATTTTTTTACTCATAATATGTTGGAAAAAACAAACGTATTTAGACATTGGTTTCTGTGTAACTGGACTAACTTTCTTAATAAAAGTAAGTATATAAATATTCTTTTGTAAAGACTTACTGAAACAACGAATTTTATAATTAATTCAAGTAGAGACACCTCTGTCATCATTAATTGTACGTGTTCGATATTATAATTGATCACACGGATATAACGCAAGAGAAAAGAGAGCTAAAATTGACGATCCTTTGCGAAATTCTTATTTCAGCTTTAATTGCAATCTGTTCCGGTTGCTGGTCGTTGTGCAAACATAGATAAATAGATGTTAGGTTTACCGACTTGATTCCGGTGCAAGAATTGTTGTCGTTCGATTTTCAAACAAGTTGACCACTTGATAGTAAGCTGTTAGCGCTGCTTATAGACATTAACAACACTACAGACATCACGTTATCGTGACACCAGCGATATCACTCATGTTTTGCCATTCTAGAGGACTACGATGTAACACCTCATATCCTGTAATGTCACTGCCTAATCCGGAATACCAGATCAACTTACAAGACAGCGGCCCTTAAATTATGAATGAATTAAATCCGCACCCTGCAACCAAAACACAGCTTATAATGCAAGCTGCTAGAGGGCTGAAATAGGTTAGGATGAGGTACCCACGAAAGCGATTTCTGGTAACTTATTGTCAACTGGTTTGAACTACTGTTATTAAGTGGCCAGGATGAAATACTTACTTTTACGACAAACAGAAATTTCTCCATTTTTCAGTCTCCTTAATCTCATGAGAACAAAAATATTTATGCTAGTTAAACACAGAATTTTTTTTTCTGAAATCTCTTCTTCCAAGGATTTCCAAAAAATTGAAGTGTCACCACTGAGACTGGTAACTTCAAGTAATCAAGACGACGCTTTGTCCGCTTCATCTTTGCTTTGATAAACTAAACGCTGACGCTTACGCTTGCGCTATATTTTGTCGATTACCTTATATTAGCGCTCTCACCGCAAAACATGAATTTGTTGTAGGACATTGAACTATTTTGACAGTACGCGAAGCGTGTCTCCTACGCGTTACCGACGTTTCCGTGCACGCAGTGGACAATTAAATAACATTCAATAACGTATTGTAGCTTACTTATTTTCATTTTGCATTGTGTACCAGCACTGGTAATCAGTCACGCAGCATCTTACTATGACACTTATGACGTTGTGCAAGCAGGTGAAGAACAATGCTTCTAACTTCCGGATTCTTGCGGATTTCATAACCAAACTGAACCTATTATTTGTGGTCCAGTGTAATATTTATGAAATTTTATTTCAAGCCAATAAGTAAGAAAATTAAACAAAGGACTGATAGATCCACCATACTGCGAGAGATTTATTTATCAAAAGATGAAAACAACATTCATTCAAAATTAATCGCTATAAATTTTAGTTTTCCATAATTCCCAGATAGCTGAAATGATGCGACCAACTTTATTACTTGTAGTATTTCGGTCTGTTTATTCTATACTTTTTTTAAAGAACTTTGAATATAAAGACATACATATGAACTATCTGACAGAAAAAGGAAAGAGAATAACATCATTGTTTAAATTATCCAAAAAATGTTTTCTAAGACTCTACGTTCATTTCGGAAAATAGCACTTGTATACTGCTGGTTCTGATCTGAGATTATTCTATTTCGTTCTATTCTGAGTCTATTCCGTTATTCTACTGTCATGTATAAAACAGCTAAGTCAATACCCTGCCATGTGGTAAGGGCAGTAGCCTTCCTATTTAGGTTTATCGTTTAGAACTACAGCCGGCACCTTCGCGGTTCGGTGCACATGATCACATGGGGTGAAAATGTTCGACATCGAATTTTGATCAGTACTGCATTGAATTGAGGATATATTTTTCCACTATTGGATCACATCGATTAGTATTACTATGGTGACATACGTAAGGTTGCCTTGGTGACACAGGTGATAGCCAGTTCCCAAGTGGCAGTATTTGATATATAATAAAATTGAGGCACTGCCTGATCTGTTATTTAATTTCGCATTTTATTGGAATTACACCCTTACCTACAACTTTAGAGTACTTTGCAATTTAGTTATTGAAATGCCAACCTACTCTTCTATGATATATATACCTCCTACTAATGTTTAGTCATTTTCAAGTAATTGGTCTGGTCTCTTGTTCATTTTTCGAAATTTATTAAAATCCCACCCTTACCTATACCTAAAAATTCAGTGTATTTTTACTCATTCGTGGCTGTTCATGTATAGCAGTCTTCATCCAATATTATGCTCTATTATCATTGGCAGTATGCTGCTGTCAGTTGTTCCTTAACTTCTAACTTTCATACTTATTATGGGGCAAAAATACTATTTTATAAATATTTCGTATTTCAACTCAAAGGAATTTAATTTGGTACCCAGCCGACTGTATCATCTTGAATATTTTATCCCTTTCCAATATGTTTTCTGTATTCAGTAGTTTAATACATATGACTCAACCTAACATAAGATTTGTCCTACTGGGAAGTATGTCGTAAAATATCCCAGGATGAGCCTTGATTGTTGTACCTAAATTGTACTATCTTAATATTATCGAATATTTTGTCGTTGCCAACATCATAAGTAATTTACTTTTATCAGTTTGGTTTTTTTGTTTGAATCACCTAGATAAGTAGTAATCAGCGTTTTATACATTTACAACGTACGCGATCCGTCTTTTCTATATTTCGACATGAATACTGAGATAGTTAAATCTCTGACGCAAGATGTAACATAAGTGCTCAAGTAGTATTATGCTATTAATTGACAATTACCGATTTTATCAGACGTATCGTTTCCCTCGATCGATGTATCGATCCCTGTCGAAAACCGATGCTATCTGCTTTCCCAGAATCAGCCACATAATCCTTCAAATAAAATGTGAATATTTTTTAGATTTAGGCCCATAATACTCGTATAACGTATTGGGATGATCAATATCCTACAATAACCGCTTGCCAATGTATGATTATTTATCAATTGAGTGGTATTGATAACTAAATAGTAAATTTGGAAAAACCAGTGGTCAAACTCTACTTATCTTTACTCTATCTTTTAGCAACCGATAAAGACTTATCAGATAGCCAGCTTCCTTCTCCATCAGCAGATCATCTCGATGTCAATCTATTAACGGAAATCTGTATCAACAGTACAACAGTAATTACATTATTATTATGACTCACATTTGTAATTTTCACTTTATTACGAGAAGTAGGATACAATTCGAGGAAATCCAATTCAAATATTCGTGGTGGTAGTAGTTATAACATATCAGACATATTAAAATTTACATGTATACTATCTAAGAATTTATAAAAAATGATGGATGAATCGAATTATTTTATTCCATATTATTGTTTCAGAGCGGCCAAAGATGGCCTACTAGATGTGCTAAGAGAGGCGACGAGGAAGGAGTGTAACAACAAGGATGAGTCAGGCATGACACCAACACTGTGGGCCGCCTTCGAGGGACATATCGAGGCACTGAGGCTGTTATGTGGGAGAGGGTTAGTATTTATGTTCTAAACTCGTGATGTCTACTCGTCCGCTACACGTCTCTGATAATGTCTGAGCATGACAAATTTCTCATTTCTATGTAAACTAGTGATAACTAGGAAAATATTGCGCCGACACCACATAATATGATAATGTCTATGTGATGTTAATAATGTTAATTTATTTGAGGATAAAGGTGTAGTGGTAATCTAGCTTTCGCTAGATCGTTTTTTGTTTCTGAGAAAACAGCTAATGTTTTACTAACTAGGCGGTCATAAAACGGTCATAAAATAATTATTATACATTCAAGTGTAGTGTAGTAACTTGTATCGATAAATGAATTGAATACTATATATAAATGTACTAGTATTGATTTACAAAACAACCGTAAACAGAGAGTTCAGTTACTTAATAAAACGAAACATCGACATCAAGACATCTGGAGTTAAAAAGAAATGCATGCATTTCATACGGATTAATGTCGTTTTTATGGTACTTATCAAAACGTCATCAGACTGTATCGTTATTCAGCAATTATTCATGTTATAACTCTTCAATTGTATACGTTGTAACAGTAAAAATATGATGCCTATCAGCACACGATAACAATAACTGATCATGCATTATCTAAATATTACGCGCAATTGCAAATGTTAATGATTGTAATAAATTTGTTGCTGATTATTGGAACGTTCACGTATCGGTGTTTACTGACGATTTTGTGTGTAACTGGAATGGCAAACTGTAGTCCACCTGATGGAAAATAAGAACCATACCTTTATATACAGGAACAATACTGCTTTTACCATGGGTAGTCTGCGTGGGTACCTACTTCACTTGTCCAGTGTCACCTTTTTGAGCCGCCAGGCAGCTTATTTGTAAGCTCTGTTTCGGTTGTCGGATCAGATTAGGCAATGAAATTACAGAAAGAGGCATGACATCTTAGTTCGTAGTCCGCGGGTTCATATGTGTATAAGCGACGGTTATAGTTTATCAGCAGGTATGCTATTAACTTATTTATTCCAATAACATAACATGTAGCCCGTATTACGATTACTGATGACTAGGTTTTCATTGTAAGGTGCTTACAGACTAGGCAGGTAAATTACTGGATTAGAGGCATGACGTCCTACCTCTTTGGAAGGGCAACGCATGAGTATCGGGTGTCATATGATAACGTGATGTTCTTAATGCTGTTAATATCGCTTATATAAGCGACGGTTCTAGTCGGCTGTCGGCTTGTCGATTATCAGTCGAGTCGATTGTCAGTCCACTTACATAAAAAAATAAAAATGAAACTATTAATCTAGTATTATTGCATTTTAGCGCATATTTCGCCATTATTGTTGTGTGAATACGAGTCAATAAAATTCTAAATTAGAAAAATCTAATAGAAATACGAGTATCAGGTATCCATATAAACGACTCGGTACTTTTTACCTCGGAAATTAATTATTATTGGAACCGATCAAGGTATCATTTTTCACTGTCGTTTTCGCACATTGTTCTTGTGGTAACCAGAGGCGTTTACAGTTATCTGGAATTTTCTTTCATTACAACCCGACTACTTGCCGCATCGCAGCGCGGACCTTGCTTTCACTTTTACAATTTTAAGCATGCAATGACACTTTATAGTGTTAAGTAACGCTAAATTTTCTGTGAAACTGTGCCGACATTATGAACAAAATTACCATCCAAATGATGTCTATATATCTCTCGGTTTAGTAATGACTTCATAAAGTACAATATAGTAACTTTAGTAAGGTACTTTACTAGTTTTCCGCAGTTTTGCTTGCGTGGCACCAAACATAATTGATGTCAATTCAGTACCTTATTCTAAACAACTATTATATTTTAAACGATTGTGCGTTGACAATAGATTTGCTTACCAATAATTACTTTTTATATATAATATATAGTTACATCATGACTAATATTTTAAACATGAATTTGTATATTTGCAACGAAAGTACTTACTCAAAAACTTCTAATCCGTTTTCAAAAACTCTTTCACTATTATCCCTGAATAAAATAAGCTGTGTTTATTACTGAAGATGGTCTAGGTGTGGTCACAGCCTGGCTAGAAGATAGTTTACTCAGGTTAAATACTAGTAAAACGAAATATCTCTGCTTTAGCAAAACAAACAGGGGCTCACCAGGAGATTTACGATTAAAACTACATTCTTTTCCGTGTAATCGCTCTAGTCAAAACGAAAACAAATCTTGTGATTGTTCTATACTTGAAAGAGCATTCAATGTAAAGTATTTAGGGTTAGTCATTGATGATAGATTAAATTGGAAAGAACATATATCCACACTTTCCAAAAGAGTTCGTAAATTTATATATCTATTTAAAGAACTCCGAATACTTTCGGACCATAAACTACTTATTCAGCTGTACAAAGCGTTAGTAGAATGTCTACTTACCTACTGTATTTGTTCGTGGGGTGCAGCTGCTAAGACGTATTTATTAGAACTTGAACGTGTACAAAGAGCTGTACTAAAGGTACTGCTATGCCTACCGTTTAGGCATCCAACATACAAAGTATATGAACTAGCCAATGTCCTCTCTGTTCGCAAACTATATATATACCAATGTATTCGTAGATACCATGGAAGTGCATCATCTATATCCAACAACAATAAAAGACTTAATCGTTATCCTGTACCTAGGGTCAAAAGTGAATTTGCACGTCAACAATACCAGTATCTTGCGCCAAAACTATACAATGTGTTTAGTCAGGTTGTAAACCCAAAAAGTATGACTCAATATCAAATTAAAAATAAAATTAAACAATGGTTAAATCAGCTACAATACGATGATACGGAAAATTTATTAAATGTACAGTAATATTCTTTGTTAACATCACAAAGATTAATTTGCAGATATATATTTTTTTTTTTACTTAAACACACGCATCAAATGCGTACATGCACGCTCACCTACATATCCATCATACATACATATAAACACACTTACATCATACTTGTACATAAGACACACACAATATAGTGCAAAATGTTATGTTTATTTCAACACCTTTGTTTTTCTTATAATTTAGATTTTTAAATATGTATCTATTGATAAAATATTGTTTATATATATCATGTTCTAATAATTTTCATCCTTCTATAATAAAAGTACATGTATTGGGAAGGAACTGGCTTCTGTCATACGGCTAATGCTAGTTCAGAAGCCAGGACTACACATAAATACTGAAAGGATTGATATTGTCTGGAATGTGTACCTATTGTATAAATAATATTGTAACGATCCTTCTGAATTTAATAAAGATTATTATTATTATTATTATTACTGTAAAAAAATGGGATCCGTACTAAAACTTCAGTAATGTGACCCGAGGTGTAAAAATATCGATCATTCAATGTCCACCCGTGAGAGTTAAGTACGGGTGGCCAGTTTAAATATTGTGAGCACAAGGGGATTAATAGTAATGTAGACATATGAACCTGTGTGGTATCAGTTATAAGGGGAGGTACATCTACGCGTTCACCCTGAAAAGTAAGGGAATTAATAAAAATAGCGATAAGACCGCCCATTGTTAACTATTTGTTCATATTTATTTATGTGACCATATTGCCTGTGGGAATAATATAAAGTCTATTAATTCCTGATTGACCACGGTTGCCAAACTGACTTAATTATTATCCTATCAACTAACTAATTATAATAACCTTGACCAAATGAAAAATAATAATTAATCTAACCCAAAGAAAAAAGTATCATCGGCCTAGCTTTACAAAGGACTATTCTTCATACAAACTTTCATGACCTATTTTATTTTACCCCCTTAAGAGTAATATTTTTAGAAAGCTTGAATGTCATATTTATTTATATTTAATCAACAGCCTTAAAATGAGTTTCAAGCTTCTAGCATTAAATAAGACGATTCTTTCATACAGATTTTTATCTCCCCTTTCAACCTCTTACAACCCTTTATCGCATTGAAAGGTAGCGTTTGTCCTTTCTCAGGGTCTAGATTTTCTGTGTACCAAATTTCATCTAAATCGGTCCAGTAGTTTTGGTTCGAAAGCGAAACAGTCAGACTGGCGGACAGAGTTACTTTCGCATTAATAATATTAGTAAGGATTGAGATTAAATACTACTACATCATAAAAAAAGTTTATTTTAGAATAACGCTGTAGTGTAGGCCTAGATTCATTGATAGCAGATATTTTAATATATTTATGATTATCACGTCGGTACATACAAAGGATTGTTATCGTGAGATCAGACGACAAATCAAAAGAAAAATAGTTTTAATTACTTATCACATTAAAATATTTTTTTTATTGCCTAGTTTGCTGTACAATCAAACTTATGTTACAGTAAATAACAACAAATTGCTCTATGAATATAAATATATTGGTATCCAATTCATAAATATACTGTTTACGTATTTTAAAAGTTGTATAAAATATACAACTTATATTATGAGGCACGATATGAACAACATCTTAGTCCTCCGGACATATGAATTGTCAATTAATAACGTGATATTCGTACCGTTTACCTATATATAACATATAGACGATGGTTACCACTTACCATCAACATATCCGTCAGGCTGGAGGTGGCCTTTAGTCACTCCATAACTCCTTCCGCAGGTTTGAAGTGCCATCTGCACTCGCCCCTTATCGTCCGGTGAAGCTATAAAGGTCAGCTGCGCGGCCTGTTGGCATTAGACTAGTCCGAAAAAGAAACTTGTAGCTGGCTAATCAGAAATGTATTTTTTATTCTAAATATGTATTTACATTTATTAACCTTTTATAGTTCGTTCTGTTGTCAATATCTTTTCGTTTTACCCATACGCAAATAAAATAAAACTACAACAAAACTTACTACGAACGTTAGTCGTTAAAAGAATGCTGTGTATTAATTTCTCTGAGTAAGTATTAGAAATGCTTTCAATGATTTAATATAAGGCACGCAACTGAGTAAAAACATTTAATCATTAAAGTTTAAACATTACAAACTTTCACGTTTATGATGACTCAATTATTATACATTAGCAGGAATTAATAGGTATACGACAAAATGTTGGGCTTGCTAGTAAAGAGATTATAAGAATGATAAGTGTCACTTCATAAGTGTCTGAGCTCTCCAAATTAACAACAACTTTTCATGTATACATGTCTATAATCACGCAAACAATATTGAGTTCGTAACACATTGTGATGAGTCAGGAAGTATATATGTGGGGACGTAATAAGTATAATATCAGTAATAAATCATCCCCAGGATATCATAAAACACAAGAGGTTAGTAAACCAAAACATGGCACATATAGTAGAGGAAAATTCAGGTCCCAGGTACATGTTACTTTATGATATTATAAATGTTGATATCGAAATGTACTTAATGATATAAATGTCTTTCTAACACTGTCTTTTTGTTACCTTTTGACAACTAAACGACTGGACGGATTTGAATGAAATTTGAGGCGACGTCAGGTCAGTTAGTCCATCGTGATAAATTCACCAAGATTATCAATATATTTCTACAGAGGTGAGCCAGACAAAGCCGATTACTTCGGGAATACAGCCCTACACTTCGCAGCAGCGAGGGGTTACAAGGAGTGCGTTACATTTCTGGTCAACTTCGGGGCTAATGTGTTCGCTATGGACGTCGACGGCCACACAGCTCAAGAGCTAGCTGCCATTAACAGCAGAGACGAAATACTGAGGTACTTGGACCAGGCGACGGCAAAATTGGAGAATAATGATAAGTAAGTATTCTGGTAGTTGGCTCGAAAACATTCCAAAAAGTACCTCTTAATATCTCATCTACGATCCTTCGTATATATATATCCAATTATTGGACTCGGACACTATAACCCCATCTATGAGAAGTCCCATAGTTTGTCTCATAGATGGGGCGTTAATATTATTTTACAGCTAACAGTGGAAAAAATAATAACACCGGCTAACACAATATATGTGCTATTGTTTTGGAATGTAAGAAATGTATAAGAAAATAATTATAAAGGACTGAAGATCCTTTATAATTATTTTCTTATATCTATATATTTATTTTCAAAGATTTAAACTAAGACGCATGCAAAAACATCAGTAATCCAAAAGTGAATGCTTTTTAAATTTTGTTTAACATTTATGTACTTCAAATTCAATTTTAATATAAAATTGCAGGAAAAAAGCAAAAGCACTTAAAGATAAAGCAAAAAAAGAGCATGAGAAATATCAGAAACAGTATCAAAAGAGGCAGAGTAAAGCCGAGTTGATGGCGGAGAAGGAATTCAAGAAATTGGCAAAGGAATGGGACCATGCGTACAGTGAGGATGTGACACCGATGCCGCACAGGTCTAGTAATGTGCTTGTAGCGCTCAAACAGAAGATGACGAAGTCTACTAGCCAAGGTAAATGATTCATACAACGGGTATAACAGAAAATCTGACCGTCAAATCAAGTAAAATATCTTAATTCAGGTAGGATCATAGAATGGCGATCTCGCCTGCGATAAGGTAGGTACCGAATATTAAATAAAAATTTTGTAGGTCTATTATACACTCTAATGATATGGCAGATCTACTGCCAGTTCGGAGTACTTTCCAGCTAAGAAGAACTAACATTCCTTGTCAGTTCTTCTTAGCTCAGCTCTTATTCACAATACGCAAGTATTTGTTCCTTCTTCTTGTAATGACTCTGAGAATGTGCCGTAGATTAACAAAATTACTAATAACTATTTAAATATGCTTAAATATAAGTTTATTTGAATAAAGAGTTTTCTATTCTTCTCTTATATAAATTAACGAAGTATTATTATATTTTCTCTTTAGGTAACCTCCTAGTGGAAGAGCAACCGAGACCTACGTACAGTTCGTTAGTCGGCACGGTGAGCTCAGGTGCGAGAGGTCGCGGCGCGGTTTACAAGAAGGCACTGGCTAACAAAATGAGGAACAACACAGTCGGCCGGTCAGGCCCTAATGACGACTTTAAGGTATGACACCTACACTGTTTCGTCATCACAGCTATGTTCATTCTTCCACCGCCATTTATTAAGTAATCAAAAGTGGCAATTCCAGTAGAACCTAAACCAACGATTCACAAAACGACTACTGAACGTATATAGGCAAAACTTCAAAATGATAAGGACAATAACGGCCATTGTCCCTTAAACAAACACCTGTACATAATAGGTTCTACAGACAGTCAAACCTCTTGTCGAGGCTGCTTTAAAGCTAAGAAACGGCTGAATACGTAATCCTGGAGGGCGTAGCAGTGGCCACACAACGAAAACAAATACTAGGGTGGGGTCGCCCCATGAAGCCTGTGAAGACACCAGGATACTTCTGCGCTTTTGGGAGCAGCTTAGCGAGGCCGTCAAATATTCTATGTTTATTATGTATTTTAAAAAATATATCTAAGCCATTAAAAATTAAAAAATGGTAAGAATCATTATGCCAGTTGCCTAATAATGAATGAAATTTAATGAAAATTCTTTATTGTTCTCCTCATAGAATACAAAAAAAAACCTTTATATACACTATTACATATAAATATGTATAAACATACAACATTGACTAAGGAAAGAGGCAACAATGGGCGACCTTATCGCTGAATTTCAACCAGGCAACCAATAACAAGCTGTACTTAGCTTGAGACTAGATGGCGCTGTGTGATTTGTTGACTCCCAAGTATTGTGCCAGGTGGGCGAGATGGAGACGACGGGGCGGCGCTCAGTGACTTCACTGACGGGACTTCGCCGTGACTCGGAAGTAATGTACGTGGGCACGTTCGGCACCGGGCCCCAACCTCGGGCTCCCGTCGCAGACGTTTTCAGTGATGACGTCGATACCGCTAAACCACAGCTCACAAGGTGAGTATACACCTTTTATCATATTTTTTTATCATTTCTATTTACGGCTCCGGTGGTTAAACGACCAAGACACTGACGGGACTTTGTCGCGACTCGGTAGTGATGTACGTGGGCACGTCCCGGCCAGCACCAGGCCCCAATCTCGGGCTCCCGTCGTCAGTAATGATGTCGATACCGCTAAACCACCGTTCGCAAGGTGGGCATACTCCTTTTAACATAAACTAGCTGTGTCTGTCTGTCTAGTCTGCGTGTCACTTCCCCGCCTTTTGCAATATTTTTCATTACAGCTCCGCTCCTATTAGTCGTAGCTTTAAGCCGTGCTTAAAGCCTTTCTCGACAAATCGACTATCCAACATAAAAATAATTTTTCTATTCGAACCTGAGATTAGCGTGTTCAAACAAATAACCATACTTACGATGGTCGCGGGTTCGATTCCTCGCACGGTACAAACATTTGTATTCATGAGTATGCCTACACATTTTATTTAACAACTAGCTGTTACCCGCGACTTGGTCTGCTTTTTTAGGACAAAAGATGGCCTATCTCCATCCTTGTGATACACTGTATCTCCATATCAAATTTCATAAGATCCATTAAGCCGTTTAGGCGTCAATAAGCAACAAAGACAAAAACATTTATATTTGTGTTAAGATTAACTTAAGAATAACGATTTTTGTATATTCCAGATCCGCAAGTCAACCAGACTTTGCAGCTCCGCCAAACGATGACAGTGGAATTGGCCACGAGGTGCTACTACAGGAGCCGGCGAGCATCTTCGACAGACCAGGCTTTGGCAGTGTCGCTTTTAGGTAATACAATATAGTATTTAACAATTTACAATAACACCTAACTCAAAAAACAATAAGGAACTAAGTAAATGAAGGTATTATATACTGTATCAGTAATTCGTATAATCTCGTTTTAATTAAAATTAAAATAATTCCCAATATTAATATATATGCATGTTTTATCGATTGTAAGGACTAATAAATCTTATCAATATGTTATCGTATGTTAATGAAATCAATAATTTTAGTAACATAGTTTTACGTTACCATAATACATAATTTGATATAACAATACAAAGGTACCTATATTATTTTTCGAAAACATGTTTCCAAGATTGATTTCGTTCCAGTATATGGAAAACCAGTACCAAGTTTTGATCAATTTTTTTTTTAATGTAATTTGTGCAATGGCAAACAAGCTGACGCTTCAAATGATAAGACGGTAAATGGTAACCGTCGTATATATACAAGAACATGTTTCTTATGGGTCGGCAACGCGCACGCAACACCCCTTCTTCGGGTTACCGTAGGCGGTTTACTATCGGATAGGTAGTTGCTTGTTTGCCACTATCGTAGTATAAAAAACAACTTTACCTATATCACTTTATCATGTGACCACTGTATAATACCACTCACGGATGATATCAATGTTATCCTGTATTTATATTAGAACCCGAGTGAATTAGAGCACAATTATTGGCTGGTTTCTCATATCATGGTGTCTAACTCGAAGAATAGACAATAAGTGATTGCATTGAACGAAACTAAAGTTTACATGTGTATAGTAAATAATTATAGTCTAATAGATTCAATTTAGTGACCAAAAAAATTTTTTCTAACCAGCCTTTTGCGGGCTCAAGTCTGGCCAAGAGTTTTGACATACACTTTGATTTTAGAAAATATTGATAAGAAACATTCTTCCAATTCATTCGGTTACTAGCAATATATAATAAAGGGAAGGCTGTTGCTACTGCTTGGGCTTAGTGCTGTCCTGTCCTTGCCATCATCATTACATAGTATAAACTGAAGATGCTGTGTCGCTGTCTGTCCGTCCCTATGTATGCTTAAATCTTTAAAACTACGCAACGGATTTTGAAGCGGTTTTCTTAAATAGAAAGAGCGATTCAAGAGGAAAGTTTATATATATTAAACATGTTTATCCGTGCGAAGCCGGGGCGAGTAGCTAGTAAAATATATAAGTGTAAAGCAATCATATATATAATAAAAAAATAGCAAAATACAGTTTTTAGGAATTGACAGTGATTTAAGTAGTAGGTTGATATGTATAATACATGTACCTACATACCGTGCGAAGCCGGGTCAGGTAGTTAGGAAATAAATAATTATTGTAAGAATATTCTGGTAATGTATACGACATTATATTTCGCTAATTATACATCAAATAAATCCAGTTAATGTATCTGCATGTGTTGTTTATCTAGGTACTAACATATTCGTATGATATCGTATCGTACATACTACATATACAATCTAATCAATTCAAGAATTATAATTCTTTATTAGTCTGTACATACTTAACTTTATCTTAGTTATCTATATCTATTGTAATTATAGATTTAGATGCTAGGCGTTACCAGCGACTTCGTCTGCATTTTGGGATAAAAAGTAGCCTATGTCCATCCTTGTAATCCACTCTATCTCGATATCAAATTTCATTAAATATTAGTACATAATAAGTACTTATAATATTAGTAGATTTAAGCGACCCTCTCTGACTCGGCTGATTTTTTGTTATTTCAAAAATCATCATCGCATTTGAAACAGTTTACAGAAAACCTTAAAAATTATATCATCGAAAACCACGTGATGTATGAAAACAGGATGAAAATCCGTTTTCATACATCACGTGTTTCTGAGGTTATCGCGAACATACAGAGACGCGGCAGGAGGCTCTATAATATACCAGCAACCCGTCCTAGCTTTGCACGAATGCTTTACAAATCTTTAAATTTCTCGGCTATATAAACTATAATACGCATGCATTTTACATATAAACCTTCCTCTTAAATCACTATCTATTGCTTAAAACTACATTAAAATCCCGTGCGTCATTTAAAAATTATAATCCACAAACTTAGTTTCACACTATGTAAAGATATATATTTATATAGATAAACGCTAGGTGCTAGCTTAATTATAGATATATATTATCTACTGTTGCAAACCATGTCTAAGAATATTGTCACACACTATTTGACAATTGATCTAATAATATATACATATTCCAATGCGGTTATTGCATTATCATGTATATATTATCAAATATATTATAGCTGTATCACTTTATGATGTAGTTTTAATACCATTATAAAGCTTTACAATGTCTCATATAATAAAGAAATAATGTCGAAGTATATAATACTTATTTATATTTTCTTTTATACCAAATATATGATAATATAATAATCCCTTAATCTTTGACCTTTCCAACTACTAATACTTACCACTGTTTCGGTGCAACGAAATGTTATCTTCTATTTCGTGAGAAATCTCTGAATCCTTTCTTAATGTATATGTCAATAGTTTTGAATATGTGAAAATACAAAAATTAATAAATAACAAAGAAAGCGGTGCAGGGTATTAGAAGTGTAATGTATGAATCCAATGCTTCTCTCTTTTACTCCGGCTGTGTGTCTTGATGATGTCCAAATGAGTCCTTGTAGAAATAAAATAAATGCTGTCACGTGCTCGTTCCCTGCCCTTAAGAATCCTTAATATATCTGCTGTAAAAGCTCATGCTGTAATCTCTCGAAGAAACCTCAAAAGTAAAACATATTAGTAGGATTATAATATGTGTGCAGGCGATCTATAACAGCGACTCTGAGCGCGTTACCAGCCGGCACAGCGGGCGAAGACTTATCTATTGGGTCTGCTGGCTCGCTGGCCGCCAGACAATCCTTCCAGCCTGCTGAGTGGAATCAATCCGGTAAGACAACCTAACTACTCGTATGTGACTTCGTCCTTGTCACATCACAAAATTAATATTTCACTTTATTTTACTCGCAACACATGCCTCTTGAATATTTCTGTCAACACTCGGTACCCTTCCATTTATTTACGCCTCCACATTATTTAGATTTAAGGTCAGTGTAAAGCCAGTTCACGTTACGACTCAGCGTTGATTATACGCGTTACTAATAGTTCATGTAGCATACAATCAAGTAAAGTAATTAGTGTAGTAAAATAATTCCATCTGTATACTATATATTCACACTACAGTAAACAAATAACTTAAGTAAGTAAAGTATGTAGCGACACCTGATCACTTATATAATACTGAGAAAGTAGTGAGGTGATAACCATCACTAGAATAAGCTAGAATACCATGGGTTCCTAATACAGAGTATATTGTTGGTGATGTAAATAATATAATAATCTCATGATAATTCACACAGTGCCATCTACATCCAAGTTAATCTAGCTAGAGCTTGTGTTATGGATAATAGACATTTGATACAAATACATAAATTTTTTTTCGCATATTATACATAAAAAAACACCAACACCGATACAAACAAACATACTCATTAATACAAATGTTTGTACCGCGACCATCGGAAGTAAGGCGGAGTGCTAAACCCTTGGACCACCGAAGCCATTCAAATATATATATATATATATTATTGTCTTTGATATACAAATATGTTATTTAAATGTTTCAGAAAGCTCTACAGTAACTTCTGACGAGGAAGGCGATGCCGAGGAGTCGGGATATGCGTCTCTGGAACGATTCCTCACCGCATGGGGCCTCGGTCAGTACGTGCAGAAGTTCAAAGACGAACAAATAGACCTGGATGCCTTGATGCTGCTCACTGAGAGTGACATGAAGTCTCTGGGCCTTCCACTAGGACCCTATAGAAAGTTAGTCACTGCCGTACAGGAGAGAAAGCAAGCCATTTCCCATCCTGGGCCCATTGTTGACACCCCTATATAAAATGTGTGTGTAGTGTGTGTTCATAGAGATATTTCTGTTACTATTTCTTCTAAGTTTCTACTTAAGTACATCATAAACTTTTACAGTTGAAATATTATAATACTTATTTGTCGCAGTATACCTGAATGAACGCTTCAATCAAAAGATATATATATTATGGTATTTTATATATGAACAAATTACGGATATGTATTAAATTTATCTGCAAATGTGCAATGATTTTACATGAGATCAGAAGAATGAGAATTAAAAAATATATATATTTTAATTATTCGTACTTAGATATAGATAAACTGTTATGTAATAAACAATATATATCTTTCATTTTTATTAGAAATAAAATAAAATAGAATTGAATTTACAGCCTGAAAATTGAAATCATGCACATATTTTTTAGGTATTAAATATTTATTTATGCGATGAAATATTTCTGGATTCACGTGCGTAGCTTATTACTTGTTTTATGTGTGTTTTATTTCCATAAACGTTTTTTTTTTCTTGCATCTATTGTGAATATCTACCATATAAGTTTAGTATGCTCGTCACAAAATGTGCGCACATATGTTGTGCGAATCATTGCATTCCAGTTACGTCCGGCAAAGCCATATTAAATATTTTTGTACAAAGTATTAAAATATAACGTTTTGTATTATTTTTAATGAGTTTTTTATTGATTATACATTCGAAACGTTTACCTTAGATACACACACATATATATATATATACATATAATACAAAAATAATTTTATGATAAATAAATCGACGTTTCGACCTAAGTCCAGTGGTAAGCTCATGACCACGAAAAGTGTAACCTAGTCAAAATATATTAAAGTGTACTAAACACAAAAGTTTTAAAATAAGTATATACGTAATATTATAATTGGGCGTATTAAAAAAACAAAAACATACTTTACATTTTTTATTTAGAAAATTTTAAATATATTTCAAATGACAAAATAAGTGAACATCTCCTTAGAGATGCGATATTTCACATTCATATTAAACTAAATTCATTTACAAGAGCCCGCGGTTCTAACTAACTCAGTACATAAATATATTGACATAAAAAATATTATGTCGTATAAAAAATGTGAGAAAATGTATTTTACTAAGTCTCACTCGGGACGATCTCACGCCTTAGTCAGTTCCACGATCACTTCTAACTAGACAAAATTATATTCATTTAATTAAATATACAAGAAAGAAATGTTAATATATATATTATAACATATATATCGTATTTCTTTCAATATAAACTTCGCATCGACTTATTGGTAAGTATGTTTATACAATACTTATATAATATTGAACTACAATGTTATAATTTAATTCACTTATGATATGTACGTACTAAATTTCAATGATAAATGAGCATTTCAATTACAATAACGATATAGGAGGAAAGGCACGAATTACAATATCTAGATATATTTTGTTCATTATATTGTCATTGCATTTACGTATGACGAATTTCTATTTATTACATCTTACAGAGGATCTTACAACTAAAATGTTTTGTTCAATCGCGATACTCTTATGGCGGAGTCACATCTATCTCATACACTTACTCCTAAACTATTGTATCCACTCATTACATATAAGTAAGTACACCTTGTTAAAAATATTAACTAAATTCGTTATGGAGATGTTTGTTCGAAATGAAACATCGTTATGCTTCGAAGAGACCAGTGGTGTCAGAGTTTCGTATAGCCGTGCACAGAGCCGAGCGGGAGTTACTTGTCATATGTTGAAAGAAGCAGCTGCTTCATTTATATGAGCAGTCTTAGAAGTTGCAAGATATCGAACTCCCGCTACGGCCAAAATAAATGTGCCAATAGTAACAGTTTTATCACTCAACCAGATTCGGGCCACCCATTTATTTATAAGACAGTGTATGATTGTATCAAGAATAGTATAAGTACTTTTGAATGAAAATATGGGTTGTGGCGTCATACACTGAACGGCGTTTGTTCGAAACTCATAACCATTGTGTTTGTATTGGTTTCCCGTAAACTACCTACACCCGCGCAACTAGTACATGAACGCTAAATATAAATTGTTATGTTTGGAAGGCGCTTTCTTCGACCTCTTACGTTTCCACCTGGAAGGGTTGAACTTGCAGCCGCCGTCTCGGAAGTACTCCGGATAAGCGATATAAGCGCCGGTCGAAGGGTCCAACGGCACCATGATGGGGAGATCCGACATGGAAACCGGCCGGTCTTCATACGACGACGCGGAGTCGTATCCTTTCGGTTCGGCGTACTGCGGACTGCTGGACTCTATCTGATTCTCCACCTCATGACTCTGATTGCACACGGGCACGCTCCGACTCGTGTCTGCCGATATATTGGACCGGGATCGGAGTATCGGTCGCGTCGATGAGAAATCCGTGGAATGTTGAAGACTTCTCGACCTAGGTCTTAACGTCTGAGGAGGGGTTTCGTCAATTCTGGACAGCGTGTGTCTCCGGACGGGGCGGTAGACCTTCTTGTCTCCAAGTTTAGGTCTTTTTATCTTGCGGTGGGAGTTGTAGGTGTCTATGGAAGGCGATGGTGGGTAGTTTGCGGGCGAGGTGTTCCGTGCGGGCGCCTGCGGGGCGGCCGCCGCCGCGTTGGCGAAGTGTGCCGCCACGAGCTCCCTCATCTGGTCGCATGCTCAGTAGTTGTAGGGCCCGTACTGCGAGCCGTGGTAGTAGGGGCCGGTGTATGCCTGAGGCGGCGGGTACCCGGCGTACGCATACTGCTGCTTTTGTGGGTACACTGTGAACATACATTACATCTGTTATAATTATGAAATTGTATTTGGAAGACTTCTCAGATAAGAGAATTTTCTACGCATACAGATAATTAGGTAGTGGTAACATATTCGCGGTAAAACCTCGCGATTGGCGCCAATGGCGCTGTTAAGAACACGGTGTAGTTTTTTAGTCAGTAAGAATCCCACAGACCCCCTCGTCACCTCTCTGACGGGGGGTAGGTCTTTTGAAGATTTTTCCAAACAATATTATCGCATATCAAAATTTACGATTAAGTCCGGAGAGGAGGGAGAATTGTTATAACCGTATATAGACTAACGGTGATTGCTTACCATCAGGCATACCCCACATATCTAACATCCACTTATAATATAAAAATAAATAATAATTATATTAAGCTACGGAAATTACAATTTTAAACGCTGTAAACATTCAATCTTTTACAATAACAGCGCCATTGATATGAGAGATAGTAAATAGTTGATTACGTTTAATATTGTTTCTATTAAATATAACACCGTTAAAGTTAATCCCCGACCGTTTTAATTCTTACACCCATGCAGTCATAAGCACTGAGAACACAATTCAGATAGTATATATTTACAATAGAATTCATGTTTCTCTTTGAAAATGCTGCAATTATATTTTTATTTTTTTAATAAAGTTGTAGGTACTTACCTAAGTAGCTATACTATTTATTTATATACCTATATACAATATTTATGCTTTGTTTCTCGCTAATATACTTAAAAACAATATTTTACAATAGTATATATGTTGTCAATAATATCTGTTAAATCTTTTCATATTACAATTATAAATAATTACTATTACCATATAGCGTGATGATAAACCTAAGTGGAAGCACTATTTACCGGGCATGAGGTACTGCATGTTAAGCGCTTCTTCCCTCTCCCTTTCTCCACGCAAGCAAATGGCCGCCGACGAGAACAAGATGGCGGACAGCAGCGACAAGCCGACGCCGCACCATGCCACCATGTAGGACCAGTCGTACCAAACGCGCGCGTTATCCCGCAATATCTGGTTTATACCGGTTTCCAAAACGATTTGCGAGCGAAACGCAGAATTTCATATATTCCATTTCGTTTTATTATGGTACATACGGATTTGTTTTATAATATTGTGTTTTTTTATTGTTTGTATGTACATTTTATTATTTAATTTTAGTAAATTATGTTTATATACACCACAGTATTGTTAATATCCGTAAGCATGTTAGTATTGCAATGGCGTAAACCAGATATTAAGAAATAGCGCAATTATATATATGCGTTAATTGACCGGTCGCATATCCGTAGTCCGTTAAACGCGGTAGCCAAGTTTCATAGAAACATGAAAAGAAAGAAAAAAGCGTTTTGTTAGTAATATGGTATAATTACATGGGATTCACTTACATACTAGGTTATGGTTGTGATGATGACCTAAATCAATATTATGATATTGGTATAATACAAATACACATATAAATGTTTATGCCTCTATATAAGGTTAGATTTTTCATATTATTTTTATATCATTCAGAAAACCAGTGATAGTAAATACATAACACTGAATCTATCACACCCAAACACTTATTTTGGGTTTCTGTTTCGTATTTTCGGATATTCATTACATCCAACTGTATTAAATAGTTTTTTCGAACTATTCTAAAAGGCCGTAACTGGCCTTTAAAGCTTTCAGAAACAGGGGGTAAGTTTGAGGCACTCCAAACTTGTGGAAGGACTTATGGAGCTGCTAAATACCATCTCCTGACTGATGGATACGACTTGAGTCTGAGGGTTCTGTTAGGGGTACGAACCTCGACCCAGGCCGTCGTGATTTCGATCCCCGTTTGAATGGAACAGAGGTTCCATCAAATGGAGATATTAAATAAATAGAAATAGTACTTAAAATGCACAAATTACTGTCCTTGACGTTATATATAAATACAATAAATAAATATTGTGTCTGGCTCTGAGTGTACAATGTCCGACACATACTTTTATTATACATTAATATATATTTTGATATATATATAATTTAGAACATGTCTTAAAAACTAAATATTAATATAGTTAATGGTATTTCGAGAATCAATTTACAAAAGATTAAGGAGCCTGCAACACATCCAAATCCATAACCGCCAAGCATTAGAGCTGTCGACAAGATGGCCGCTGCCACGTGGTGACAAATGGCGGTCTAACCTGGCATTATGTACTGCACGTTATTCTGCTGTTCTCGTTGTTTCTCCTTGCTGAGACAAATGGCAGCGGAGAAGAACATAATTGAACTGCCAAAGGAGACGCCGACGGACAACCAGGCGAGTATGTACGACCAATCGTACCATATTGACGAGTTGTCTTTTAACACCTGTCGTTAGGCTTTTTGTCAGCATTTGATTTTTAATAATAGGACATGTTATGACTTAATGGTAAGTATAATAGAAGTATGACCCATATTGTCACAATGCATCTCCAAACTGCGTTGTTAGCGGTTGTATTCCTGTCTTGCTCTAACACATGTCGTCAGCTGCACGCTAACTATGTAGATTGTAGACACTTAGTATACTATAAGGTTTCGATTTATATCTGGTTGCTACGATTTTGGAGAGAATTTCACACTAGTATAATTATAAATGAAATAAATAACAATTCAAGATTTGAGTTAAATATAAACGTCAAAATTTCGTAGAGAAAATTGTCGTATACTTATATTTCTCCATATATTAGACCATCCGTTTAGATTTGACCAGATAAGTATCCGATTTAAGGATTTCTTATTATTATATACTTTAATGGAAGTTATGTAATTAAACCTTTTTTAAATGTCCGTCTTCCTATAGATAGGGACTTCAAATTTCAAATAAATATTAAACTATTAACCTATCGATATCCACGTTATTTTGTAAATAAATTGTACATAAAAGGCATTGGAAACTTACATTGGGCCACTGCTGATAGTATTCCTCACCCACTACCTTCTCCTTCTCGTAGAACTCCACCCCGTGCCATAACGCCATCGCTCCAGCCGCTAAAAGACCTGAAACATCAAGTAAATTCTATAAGTCATATTATTCGTAATCTATACTAATATTTAATATAATAATAATAATATTATAAAGCTGAAGAGTTTGTTTGTTGGTACGTGCTAATCTCAGGTTCGAATTGAAAAATTATTTTTGTGTTGGCCTTCCTCGATAGATGGACAATATTTATCAAGGAAAGCTTTAAGCTATATAACATTACGCTACGACTAATAGCGGAGCTGTATTGAAAAATATAAATATTGCAAAAGGTGGGAAAAAGAAACACAGACGAATTTACGCGGGGCAGCTAGTATTTGTATTTTATATAGTACAAAACTAATTTGATATATTTTAGGACGATTTATAATGCAGAATACAATGTTGAAAAATATAAGTTTGTGATTTATATATGTTACTTAGTAATGAACATATTTCCAGATATAATACCTAGAATAAAAACTACCCCGCGCATCTGCGTCTACATCAATTACATACGCAACAAAAGGTCTAATAAGGCCAATTTTATCCAACATATTTTTGATGTTATTCGCCTATTGGTCGTAGCATATTATGGTAGTCAGATTTCCTCAACAAAAAGGCAATCAAACACTAAAAGAGTTTTTAATTCTAAACCCGTAGTTTCCGATATTAGCCCGTTCAAACAAACTTCTTCAGTGTTAATAATATTAAGTATAGATTAAAGAGTGATAATTTGCATTACGCATACATCTACACCAGATTTCCTGAAATTAATTAATCATAATTCTGTATTATACAAAGTAACATGGAGTTTTTCTTACAGGCAACATTTAGACGAATTATACAATTGCTTGTGGATGACCTTGATGGCGTAGCAGTTTAAAGCACTGTCTTTCGACAGTTGCGAGTTCGATGTATGTCATTAGTATGGCAAACAATCTGATGGTAAGCAGTATTCGTCGCCTAAATACATGAAAATCACAATGGACATGACGTCATCATAACTTGCCCGCAACTCATGCATCCGTACCACGTAATCACTGATTATCTCATTCATCAGTCGAAACACATCTTACAGAGTAAGCTGGTCATCAATTAACATTATAGATACGATAGAGGTGGCCTTGCTGCCAACTCGGTATAACGTCTACCTGTACTTCTTTTTCTATTAGTATAATCCTGAGGCTTTCGAGCGATATGAGCGACAATAACGAATACAGTACATTCAGTAACAGTATAAGTACAGTAATTCTACTGTCATACAATGAAATTTAATGCATGCTGCATGAATAGACAGTGTGTCTTTAGGTACTGTTCAACTTGTAGGTTATAGTTCGTGAACGAACTAGAACGGAGGAGCGCTCCCAAATACGAACAAGTTCGCAGATCTTTCGCTCTTTATTTCATTTGATGAAAAGCAAAAGTCTTGCTAAAAAATAAACATAGAGGTTGACCAACGTACTATATTTCACTGATATAATTCGGGAGCGTACAAACTAGTTCGCAAGAGATATGCGAACTAAAGTGAGTGATCCCAATCGTAAACTACTATGTCGGCCTCGGTAGTCTAGCATTTTAGCACACCACCTTACTTCCAAAAGTCGCGGGTTCGATTCCTCGCACGATACAATTATTTGTATTTGTAAGTATGTATCGGTCTGGGTGGTTTCATGTATATTATCTACGTATTCATGTCAGTTGTCTAGTACCCATGACACAAGCTTTGCTTAGCTTGGTACTATAGATGGCGCTATGTGAATTGTCCTGAGATATTATAATTATGCGCAAGACTAATAGCTGACCTATATATTAATTTAATTAAATATCTGTCTGTACTTACATGTTACCAACATCAAAATAGCTGTGGCGGTTATGTTGCCCGGGCTTCGCTTCCAGCATCCCACCACGCCCGTCCAAAACGCGATGAACAGAGATAGAAACGCGACTATGAACAAAGCTACCGTTGACCGGGCCATATGCAACCTGCAATAGTATTGCAAACATTTTTTTTAATATCCATCAATAGAAATAATTTTTATACAAATAAATATGAAATATACATTTGAATAGTCACATTGTTTCAATGGATAGATTAAATTCTTGTAGTGCTGAAACTGCATTCCGAATGAGCGTTAACTCATTTGGAATTCAGTTGACACAAGAATGAACAAGAAACTTACTTGTTGCTCTTTTAAACAAATGTTGTACAACTTTATCCACAATCTCATGTCAAATATGTGTGAGTACATTACCAAATAGCACCATTCAATAATAATATAAATCTCAAATCTACACTTGAATGAAGAACAAACTAAAGCAGTATCAAAGTAAAGTATGGCCTCTACAAAGAGCAATATTACTTTAATATGATTTTTAGGACAGTTGGCCTGTCCTACGTATGTGTAAAAAATCTGTTTTTTTCAAATTCCTATTTTTTATAAAAAGTTCTAGTTGATTTAATTTTACACAGCCTATTTATGTTCATCACAAAAAAATGAGGATCTCTCGACTTATAGATCTGATTTATGACTAGTTACCATAAGGTGGGCCATATGATTACATAAAAATACTCATTACTTCCTAGTAAAGTACGTCTATTTATAGATTTAAGTACGTTATGTAATAAATTATATAATATTTCGTATCAAAATAACAATTAAAAACCATAGATAATCCCATAAAGAAACAAGTCATTAAATTCTCAACCTTTAGTCATAGCATCTAAATTATAGATAGCATAAATCATATCGACAATAAGTGCAACGAAAACAATGAATCGATTAGTTTTGTATCAATTTAAATCTTTACTATTGGCTGTTGACCCACTTACATTCTATCTGGTACAAGGCCCAAACTATGACCAATACTTACAGTGGCCAATATTAATAGTAGTGAATTCAGAATCAAGAATATTAAAAACTTTTGATTTTCATAAGCATAAATCCAAAACATATTTATTGTTGTAGATCCATCACATATTCTAACTTCTGAGTAAATCAAGACCCTCACCCAACAATAAAAAAGGTTCAAAAGATCAATTAAAAATCAAATTGAATCTTGATGAATATAAGGCTTATATACTACCATATTTCTTTTCTTTACCTTCTCAAACCCAAAGGTTGTGTAAGAAGAGTTTGTTTAGCGACAACACCTCAAAGAAGATAAAGAGGGGGGAAGGGCATTGTTAGTAATGTGGACTCATGACTTCATTATGTACCTTGTCACCTCAGATTGACTTCCATGCTGTTCCCCCAGAAAACCATCGTGATATATTCCTGGTGAATTTGTCACGATGTGCTAACTGACCTGACCTCATGTTCATCTCATCATCCTCCACTGATGCCCCGCCAACATAAACCGTTAGCGCAGGCGGGTGTACCATTCCATTATCATCCATAAAAAAAGTACAATAAAGACCTGACAACACTGAGTAACTTATTTACCTGTTCATCGCATCATCCGACAGTCCCTTGGTTTCATTGTTCTCATCCGGTATGAAGTAATCCACATTGCTGCAGTGTGTCTCCACTGGCGACAGGTAGATCTCCACTGGAAACAATAATTGAATCATGTTATATTCATCATGAGATCACAATTAATGACTAATCAAATCAAACCGGAGTTAAATACCACAACATCGTTTTTGTTATACAGTTATGAACGATACGAAATATGTGTGAATTTTTTTTATATACTACATTATGCCACAATTAATGTGGTTTTTTACTAAAATTGACAAATTCAATAACGCTTGCACTCTATGTTAAATTTTCCTTTAGGAACTCAGGTTCATTCTTAAAGAAAATTTCTTCATGCATAATAATTCAGTAACATTTCCACTTGTATTCGTGTTTTGTTATTAAGTAGATTTTGTAATGCAGAAAGAAATTGTTCTTTAGGATCACCTGAAGGTGGATGACGAATATAGATGTAACGACCGTCGATTTTTTTACTTTACAATGTCAACTTCAACAATAGCTCTATCTCATCTTATAAATAAATACAGGTACGGGATCTTAGTTCCTTAATCTCAGGAATTACAACGATTATAATTATATGAGATTGCCAACACAAATTGCTTAAAAAAACTTCGTTATAGGTACACACAAAACTTGAAATAAAAGACACAATGTTATTAAGAAATTAAGGAGTCCAATTTATTTATTTCTGTATAAATTTGCACAGTCAGTTCATGTTACAAATTTCTTAGTGAGCGTATTTTTTATTTTATAGCAGCAAATATACAAATCAATCTACCTATATATATAATAGATTAAACAGAAATAGGCTTTAGCATAATTTTGCAATTAGGTGCGTAGTTTAGAACTGGTTTTGGTACGTTGCCTCAACATCTGTACTATGATTGAATATAACCACTAACAGAGCTGACAGCAAGAATTACAAACAATACTTAAGGAGATATAAATGCCAATAGATTGAATCATTCAACCGGCCGCCTCGTACGGTGACGAAATGTGTTACTGTGCAGTTCACATCCTTTCACGCAAAATATTCTCATTCTACGGCAGTAACGTCGAAGCCTTGGAATGCTCGAGTCAAAGTCGACTAAATAAATACTTAACTGTGCACTATTTTATGCTTAGTCGTCGCACACTGATATCTGTAAACGTGTGTGCGTTTTCTATTTGCATGATTTTCGAGATTGGTGTTTGACTAGAAACTACGTCGCTTCTTACGTTCCACCCTTATTACGAATTTAACCGTTGCTACTTTAAAAGAAAAACACTTGTTTTTATAACTGTGAACTATAACTTACTGAAATTATTCTGTTTACTTCTTTTATACTTCTGTTTGAAGCAAGACACTATGTCGAATGGACCGACCATTACTAGGTTTGAAGAAGACTTCAGGTTGAAATACATTGTCATGAGAAATAAAAATATATTAAACTGCATACATACTGTCCATTCATCCATCTCATACAAATATTAGCTAAAAATAACACATACGTTTTAAATAACATAATTTATTGAACTCACTTTCTGCAAAACAGTTACACTTATTTTAAAACAAATACTTAGCACCAAATTCTACTTCGCAATAGGTAATGGATTCCCGACTCAATGGAAGCTGCTGTACAACTTCAACAGATGTGGTATTCTGTTAAATCCTGTATTCATAGCAAGTCCTTGGGAAATTATATTTGTAGTCTCATTGAATTGTAAATAGTATTATCTCGAAGATACGATCGTTTAAGAAGAACCTACAACTACATAAAAATGTAATATATCTTATGTTGACATTTGCGATTTGCTCTATTATAGCTAACCACCATCTGTTCTCCATAAAACAGTTTCCAATGCGATGAACCAGGAAGAGTATGTCTATAAAGCTTCTAACAATACCCCGGAGGCAACGCCTTCGTAGTTCGCTATTGTCTTTCGTCTCGATTCGTATACCTATTAAATGATAAACATCTGTCAGTATTGAATTCGGAGCTTTTATATACTTATTCTTTAATTGACTTCAGCTTATTGTTATTTAAATAAATTATATAAGGAAAATTATTAATAATGGGGATTTAGTGACTAACTACGGCTAACAATATACTCATATCGACTATAAACCATCGTTGTTAATTCCCGGTGAAATCGTCACGACGGCCTAATTGACTTCACGCTCATCTTATAATCCTCCACTGGTGCCCGGCTAGATAGTTTCAAATGTATGTAGATTGTAAGATCTTGCAAAAAGGACTAAATTAAAAGAAAAACGGTATAAAATGTTTCGCAAATGCAATCAAGCAGAAACTTCTGTACTTAGAGCGTCTCTAAATTATCTTACGACTAGAAGAGGAAACAGCATTCTGCATTCATTTGTTTGGAAAACTCTACACAAGGAGAGTGTATAATTTTGCTTCCGTATCCCACAAAATATGATGTCCTATCCCAAAAACCCAGATTTAAAGTAACATTTCTAATTATAATTAACAGACAATGCAGTAAAAATTACGCGGTCTTTGTAACCTGTTCCCACAATCAAACTCCATTCACTTAACCAGCTGACTACAATAATTGGGCATGCCTCCCTCTCTAGCTTAAGATTTGTTGTTGGAAATGAAAGTGATAGATCTAGTTTCAACAGTCGCGCCGTGACTATCATGATTCGATTTCACTTGGCAATGCTTCTTTTTGCAAACATATATAATGACACATGTAGCTAAGAAACTCTGCATACCTACTACGGATTCTATACATTTCCTGTTGATAAAAGATATGCTGTTATTCATTTTTAGTGGTAAAGTAAATAGAATAAAACGTTAATTCACCTCGAATTGTTGTTTACACTATGTGTGGAAATACGCAGTAAGTGTCTATGAAAAATACAAGCGCTCTTAGTGCTATGTCAATGGAGAACATTCAATTTAAAATGGTGTGCACCAAAGATCAAACTCCTAGTGGTGTCCTCAGGTTAAAGTTGTATCTGTCAGGCAGGAGATATACCTACTTCAACTGCTTCATAAGTACCTGCGTGGGTTTGGTTTCGCGGTTACCCTACTGCACCTACATTTTCATCCGTCCTATAGACTCAATTTTCGTTAAGGAATAAAAGTGACGAACATGTCCTTCTTGACGTGTAAAAATTAGAATCCGACAGCTCAATCGAATGAATCATAAAATATCTTGAATATTTCAAATTTTATATGGATCAAAAAAATAACAGCTGCTTGCTGGATATTTAACGATGGGCTCTGAGTTTGAGGTATAGAATGACAATATGAGTCAAGCGAGGTGAAATGGTAATATATGATAAATTCAATGGTGAAATGAAACTATTTTAGTTTCAATTTAGCAATATATAATTATGAGACAAGGTTGCTTATATAATTAGATAGTATTTTACTAATGCATATTCAATGAGCTTAAACATTAAATGTACAGAGCCACATTGTTCTACCTACAAGTAACTGTGGTATGCAATCGCACTTCGCAAGCGGACACTTCTAATATTCATATAGATACTTATGGATAAAGGCAGACAGGCAGGCAGGCAGGCTTACGGCTAACGGTTTTTCTGTCTGTCTGTTTACTCACGGAATTATCATTTTCTAATAATAATTAATATTTTCATCACATTCAAGCATTCAAAGTTTACTCTACATAATCAATATCTCAAAATTAATATAATAATTACACAAAAAAATCATTTCATAACTCGACCAATATTAGCGAATATATATGTTCAATGAAAATATATGTTATGGTGAATTGAAAAACTCTTCTTTTCCAAAATTGATTGAAATAACAGTAAAATGTAACTTTAGGTTACTGTTATTTGGTATAAAAATATACTTAAAACTTATTCCTGTCTTCTACTGTAAAAGGCATTTTTGAACAGATAACAAATTTATATTACCTATACATAAAAAGCTTCTATTCCCAAAAATAACGGATTAAATAAAATAATTAAACGGACAAATAATATTACGTATTCAAATAGGAAGGCAAACACAAAAGAAAGTTGTGTATTAATTATTACTGTGCCTTTCAAATCATGTATTATAAATCGTACCGATAGAAAGCAATAGTCAAAAATCGCTTCACGTCTATCATTTGGGCCACAGCCAAATATGATAAACATGTGCAACAAATAGGTAACCGGGTCCGTGCGACATTTCAGTCCCCAATCCGTAGGCGAATAGAGAAAGTGCCTGCGTCCTTGTTGTCGAGTAATTGAGGCAGGTGTTAGCGTTTTGCAATATCAATTGCTTGCAAGACTGGACGTTCCTTCGATTGTTAACTAGGCACCTACTAAATTATTATGCAGTTTACGAGCATGCAGTGTGACTGTAAAGAGTATTGCCTTAGTGGTCTAGCAATTTAATACACATCTTTGCTATTTGAAGATTGCGGGTTCGATCACTGTACAATACAAATATTGGTATTCATAAGTATATCTACATACGCATATATGTCTGTTTGTATTCACCTAGCTATTTTCTATTATGTATGTCTATCTGTTGTATAGCACCCACAATACAAACATATCTTACTTTGCAACTAGACGGAGTTACCAAGAATTATTTATGATTTTAATATTACTTTCACAGACATACAAATATAATAATAATAATATCCCTGAACAGTTCATATAGCGCCTCTAGTCCCAAGGTAAGCAGAGCTTGTGTTATGGGTACTAGATAACGGATAAAAATACTTATTATACTATGTAGATGACAAATAAGCATACTGCTCATCTGATGATAAACGGTTACTTATGGACTACTGAAACATCAGGGCTATCACGTGCGCGTTGACGTCCCTATACGATACAAATAATCATACTCTTCATGAGTTATAATACAAATGTTTGTACCGTGCGTGGAATCGAACCCGCGACCATCGGAAGTAATGTGGTGTGCTAAACCGCTAGACCACCGAGGCCGACAATAAATAGATAACACAAATACTTCAGCATAACACATATGTCAATCACACAATTCAGAAAATCTTACAATTTCTATAAAATTTTGGCATGTAAGCAAAATTGTATTTTTATTCAAATAAAACACAAATGAAAATGTAAAT